TGTATCATGCATACTGCAGCTTAACATATCCAAGAGAGAGAGAGGGTAGGATCATGTCGAGACCATCAATCCTGCAGTCTTAGCATAGCTATTTTGTCCTTCTCTTTTGTTCCTGCTGAGTATTTCCTTCCCCTCCATGCATGGATGGTTTCATTTTTTCTCTGTTTGCAATCCAAAATGAGAAGGTATTCTGCAATTTTTGCATTTTACTTATAATATATTGTTTTGGGACCCCCCTTTTCAGTGTGATGGGCATGTATATAGCTAATCTGTCACCATCTCTCGCATGGGCAAAAGCAACTTTCTAAGTCCTGGCCAAATGGTTGCTAGTGCGACAAGCCAATCCTTTCTAATTTCAGCAATCTCTGAACCAACCTCTGACTGAACTCGTCATTCAGCTTGTACAATATTTCTTCTCCAGGATAATGTGAGCTCATGCACGTACTCTTTTCAAGCACCTGATACTCCTGATAGCCATATCTCCTCCTGTGGCCCCCCAGATCCTTCTCTCCAATCTCTATAATTACAATCAGATGGCCAAAAAAGGGAAAGAAAGAAAACCCCATGAAAAAGTTCTTTTACTGTCATTGAATATCAGGTGGAGGTTATGGTTACATCACTGTAGAAACAAAGGAACAAAACCCACCAACCATACACAGAATCACATGCATTTCAAAGTACAAAAAAGAAGCAAACTTGTTAGCTGCATGCGTTGCCTTTCCGTTCTAGGAGTGAAAGAGCACTGACGAAGACGAAAAGTAGTTCATCATCTTTGCTGTATTCACACAAAAAGTTGAAACCCCACTCTGATTCCTTCAACATATTTCTTTTGTTTAATTTCTATATGGTTCCACTTGCTCATGTTGTGAAGATTTCAATTTATTTGCAGAAAATAGATAATTACATATATATATATATATATATATATACTAAAAAACTAAGTCACAAGATACATTCATGTCATACTATTATTTATCCCATTACTTTGTATTGTTTTCTGCAATGTGTATGACCCAGAAATTAAGTCCAAGTCTGATTTGTTTTCTTTTTCAGCACAACAACAATGCTAATGTTCTTGGTTACTTCTTTTCCCTGCTTGTAATCCTCAGCCAGAATCTCATCGGCCTTACCAAATAGCTTATCCATCACTTCTTCTCCGAACTGGCGAAACAAAATTGGCTCTGAAAAGCTTCTGTAGCCTTTAATTCTTAATTCTGGGTTGGACCATGCATTCTTACCTCCAATCTCCAGCACAACCGTGCCACTAAACTCAGTGGTGAAGGAACCTTCCTTGTATATCACACACTCAACTTCTTCTTGAGAGGGATTGTAGTAGGGTACATTGAAGGAGTCTAATTTCTCTTCATCAATCAATCCCTATATATATGGACCAAAACTGAGATCAAAATTAAGTCAATATAATAACCATGAAGGTTAATTACATTTTTGCTGTCTGAATTACATTTCGTTAAGCAAATTAAATATGTGACGTGTTCTTATTAGTATTTTTTATCACAGTATTTATTTAACTAATAAAATTAATTTTAAGTAAAAATTACTTAACGAAAATAAAATCAAGTATCTAATTGTGAAATTTTAAATTTCAAATACTAAATTGAATATTTGATCATTGTTCGGATACCAAATGCGTAGTTAATCCCAATCAAAACATTTCACCCACTTTTGATACTTAATTATATGTATATATCTCTGCAATTATAATGAAAGAACTTTACTTAGCCATAGATTAGGTGAAAATTTTGGTATTTCACCTCTGAAACCAAGTAGGATAAGGCCTCAGCTAGAATATCACAAAGGTAGCAGATGTCTTTCTCTGTGGGATCTGCAGATTACCGTCCATTAAGAATCAAAACCATACGGCCATCAGGTGCCAGCTCTGGAGATCGGAATCTCAAGAGTGAAGAGAAGTCTTCTTCAAAATGGGAAAGATAACCCTTTGAACAGTGTGTTGAAATCGTTACCGGCTAAATCATTCAAGTGAAACTGGATTTCCGGTATTTCGCATCCCAATTCACTGCATAACTCGTAGGTAACTAGTCCGTGGTACTAAGCGCAGGTTAAGGTTCGATTAAGGCAGTTTTAGCGATTTGATTTGATTAAAAAATTTTTAAAATTAGTTAACTGATTTAATTGACTTATTTTATTCTATTTGTATTAACAAATTCAAAATTATAACTGCAATTATAAAAAATTAAACTTATATTATATTATATTATATTTATTTAATATAAATTATAACTTTTTTTATAATTAATTAAGTAGGATATTTTTTGAGGGTATTACTACATCCCTCGCCTCCATTGATAATTTTTTTCTTGTGTTGGAATCTAAAACAACTGTATTTCTTCGAATTCTCCCAAGTACATAAAAACTATCTTGCTCTGTGTGGTTTATATAATTACTAGCACAAAGCAACTCGCCATTGCTTTGCTTTGCTTTGCTTGTCTCTGTGTTGATTATGCGATATCCTGACACTGGCACGCTTTTTAATATTGCTAGAGACATTTTTCAATCGTCCCAGCTTATCATCATGTAAAACAATCCCACCACGTGGGCTTAATATCATCATGCAAAATAATTGAACGGTGGACGGCACTAATCTGGAGCACGAATCTTCATCCCACCACGTATTCAGCCTTATTTAGTTACAGGGATGACATACTTTATTTTGTTTCTCTGTCTGCAAATCTAAATTGATTGTGTAATGTCCTGACATTTTTCAACCCTCCCAGCTCATCCGAAACGGTTCCCAAAGAAAAAGATGGGACAACCCATTCCAAAAAAAAAATAAATTAAAAATCATGATAGAAACCAACACCATTTACAAAGAGAAAGACCATGATTGAAAGATGGAAGAATGAAAAAAATGAGTGATGGGATGAAGAGTTTTTAATTTTGTTATTTTTTTTATTAATATTGTTTAATTTACTTTTTATTTAGTTACAGAATAACATATTTTTCTCCACCAGGATCAAGTAAACAGTTGGGACAAATGAGGGAGGGGGCGGCAGATTTTGTCCTGCTTTGTACTCCTTCCAATAGCTCTCTCTTCGAATGGCACAGGCTACAACTGTCCACACCCTTCAACACTTGCTCCATTTACGCTTGCAGTCCATGATAATAGCCACTAACATATAGGTTAGCACATGTATTTTGCTTGATCAAAATATGTAAGCAAGCCAGGCTCAACTTGGCAGTTTCACCTTATGCTTTAGCAAATTAAAACTACTATCTAATTCCCTGAATGACACAAGTTCCAGGGTCCAATGTCTTTCTTTTTAGCACAGCAACAATACTAACGTTCATGGTTGCTTGTTTTCCCAGCTTGTAATCCTCGACAAGAATCTTTGTCACCTTCTCATATAACTCGTCCATAACTTTTTCTCCAAATTCGTAAGAGATCGATAACTCAGAAAATGCTCTCACGTTTTTAGGTCTCAATTCTAGACTCGCCCATGCACCTCCAAGCTCCAATTCGATTGTGTCTATGAACTCAACTGTGAAAGAACCCTCTTTCTCCACTAAATCCTCAACTTCTTCTTGGGATGGAGTGAAGGTTGGCATTGAAGGAGTCTAATTTCTCCTCATCAACCAGTCCCTATTGATTACATTGACTAGGAATTAGTTTATGTCAAGTTAATTAACTCAATCAATAGATAAGCATATCTTAAATGTATAAATCCACTTGTGAAATTAAAAAATTTCAACTCTCGATGTGTAGAATAATAATTAAAAGAAAAGATAAAAGTTAGTAAGATAACCATTTAAGATGTGGCATTGGATAGGACTTCAAAGTGGTTGATGCTTTCTTTGTTTATAGGATCCTCAGGTTTCCTTCCATTAATTATGAAGAGGATGCATCCGTTAGGTACCATCTCTGGAGATCAACATTTCAAGAACAAAAGGAACTCCTCTCGAAACTAAGAAAGGTATGCCTTAGAGACTGCTTGATGGTTGGTTTCTGATATGTGGATAATTAATACTTATTTGTTAATTCACATAAATATTGATATTTTTATGATAATTTATATTTATGGATATTGAATTTTATTATATTTGATAAATATTATGATATTTATAATTTTTGATTGTAAATATTATGATATTTATGATATTATGATATCTCTTTTTTTGTTTGTATGTGAATCAAGATTTCTTCGCATTGATAAGTCTTTTTCTCTCAAAGGGATGGAAAAGGGGTGAAATCACTTTTACAATATTGTCAAAAGCTGTCTTTGTTCGCTCTAAGTAAATAATGGCATTCATTATTATTTGATTTTGAAAGGGCTTTGTTATGGAATGGTATTTTTTAAAGTTAATTATATTATTATTTATAATAATAATTTCTTTTTCTCAGCAATTCAATAAATATCATTGATAATGAGATAATTACAAAAAGAACTGCAGCCCAAAGGGAGGGAGCAGGGACAAAAGAATTAAGGGCACCTGACTATTAACAATCCCACATAAAGATCATAAGAACAAGAAGTGAGAGCTTAACAAAGAAAACCAAGATCTCACAACAGTGATTTCAATCTTCAGCTGAAAATTTATAATAATATTATTGTATCAATTGTATTGATTCAAAATTATGTATTTTAATACATTGACAAAATATATTACATAATACAAAATTTTTTAAAATATTCACAAATAATAACTCATACATACATACATACATACATACATATATATACTATTTACCTTTTCACATTGACAAATCTCTATCAAATAGTGACAGTAATTAATTATCAATATCGAAAAGTAAAAAGTACAAAACAGGAAAGATAATTGCTTGGATTGGTGGATTCCAGATTCCATGAAAGGTTATTTTTGCATAAAGTTTATTCCCTTTTTAAAAGTCAATAAGGCCATAGAAAGGCTAACCTAAAGCATCCAATTACAGGTGGTTTGCCCAATTAAGCATCAAATACCACAAAATTAACGGAACCAATAAACAGAACTCACCTTGAGCCCAATTCATTTGTGTGCATGCCAATTTACAGCAAGCATATGCCAAAATTAAATAGTTTTAGGTTCCGCTATATCACAACTCAAATTTCTACAAAACCCAATTTCCCCAACTAATCATTTTCAATTTATTTATAAAAAATTGATAATATTATATATATATATATAATGCCACTTGGCATCTTAGTATCAAGAAAAACAAAGTTTCAAGATACTTTCATGTCATAGCTTTACGTAATCTAAAGACTTAGACATGGTCAATTGACATTTCTCCTTATTCCTTACAGCAAATTCATACTATTATTTATGCCATTGGTCCTGATTCTTTGCCAGCTTCAAGTCAGAGTTCTTTCTTTTTCAGCACAACAGCAATGCTAATAGTCTTGGTTGCTTCTTTTCCATGTTTGTAATCCTCCACAAGAATCTGTGTGGTTAGGGACAGAGTTAATCAACTTTTATTGGAGGGTCAAAAATGATAAAGGTCTAATAATTAAAAATTTTTAAAATTAATACATTGAACTTAAAAAATAATTAAAAGATTTATAATAGATAATAATTTTATATAACATATAAATCAAAAGAAATAAGAAAAAAAACTTATAATCGTTTTATAAGTATCGAATTTTACTTGAAAAGTATCTATTTCTTCAGGATTGAGCTAAAGACGTTTTGATTTATATTACTTTTTTTCATGATTTGAAGTATTGAGACTTGATGACTGATCAAGTGTAGGAAAATTATTTAAAACTTACTCGTATTTTAATCAAATTTAATTTTTATTTTTTTATGAAAAGTGTTTTTATTGAACCTCTTATTGACCAAAGACTCCTAAACTACTCGAAAAGTTATACAATTACATGGCAAAACCACTTGAAAAACTTGATTGCGGCTCAAAGAGAACAAAAACGCTTAACAACACAAAGAAAGGTAGCACATGAGACCACTAACATAAAAAAACCTAACACCAGATCCTAATCAACGTGTAGCCAACATTCAATATTTTAATTTTATTTTTATTTAAATTTAAAATACTAAATATAAAATTATAATGTATAAAATATAAATAGTTAAATATAATATATAGAATCTTATACAATGGTTAAATATATAAATAGTTAAATAATATAAGTAGAAAGAAAAAAATAAACGAAAATTTTACCACTTCGTAATTTCACACAATGATGGTTAGTGGTTTCTGTCATTCTTTATCTAAGCTCAAAAGCTCATAAATTTTTTTTGAGGAATAAAATGTGTTTTAAATGGTGAGTTACAAAGAAAAGACTAACGTAAAAATAAAATGACAAAAGAGAAAAAGAAAGAGGGAAAAAGAGATTTGAAGAAACTTAAATTAGGGTAAAGTTAAATAATGTTTATGAGGTTATTTTATTATTTATTATTTAGATTAATAATAAAATAAAATATTATTTTGAGAGAACCATTAAAAAAATATATAATAAATAAATAATTCCGTAAATTTTGAAAGTGACCATTAAAAAATCTATAATAAATAAAAAATTCTAAGAAATTTTGGAGGAAGCCATTAATATATATATAATAAAAATTTTTAAAATATTTGGGGAGCCTTTTAGTTGCATTACCCTCCGCCGCCGTGTGTGGCCTTGTCGTATAGCTTGTCCATCACCTCCTCCCCGAACTGGTGTGAGAAAATGGGCTCCGAAAGGCATCTGTAGCCTTTGATTCTTCATTCTAGGCTCGACCATCCATTTTGACACCCAATCTCCAGTGCAATTGTGTCAATGAACTCGGTTGTCAAAGAACCTTCCGTGCCTACCAAGTACTCAACTTCTTCTTGGGAGGGATTGGATTGTCGTAGGGTAAATTGAAGGAACCCTAATTTTTCTTCATCAATTAATCCCTACAACTACAAATGGCCAGGTAATTGAGTAAACAATCAAACGTTATTGACTGAAAAAGAGTTGAAAATTTGGCATTTTACCTGTGAAACCAGGTAGGATAAGGCCTCAGCATGCAAGAAGATCCCATTTGCAGCAGCTATCTTTGTTTGTGGGATCGGCAGTTTGCCGTCCATTAAACATCAAGACCATACGGCCATTAGGAGCCAGCTCTTGACATAGCTATTTAAAGAAATAAACAAAATATATATCTTTTAAGTATAATTCAACAGAATACCATCTCATTTTGGATTGCAAACAGAGAAAAAAAAAGAATATCAATGGAGGCGAAGGAAATACTCTGAACAAAGGAGAGGAGAAAATAGCTATGTTAAGACTGCAGGATTGACAATCTCGACATGATCCTACCCTCTCTCTTTTGGATATGTTTACAAGTAATTTACTTGTTTATTTTGGTTATGGCTGCCACTTTTAGCTGCAATTTAAAGATAAATTTGTGAACTGATTAGAATCTCAAGCTTTCCATAACAAAAGTAAACAAGTAAATTACTTGTAAACATAACCGAAAGAGAAGAGGGTAAGATCATGTCGAGACCATCAATCCTGCACGATCTTGACATAGCTGTTTTTCTCCATCTCCTTTGTTCATGAAGACCATATCCTTCACCTCCATTGATAATTTCCTTTTTCTCTCATTTGGAATCTAAAGTAACTGTATTTCTTGGAATTTTCCCAAGTGCTTAAAAACCATCTTGCTTCGTGTGGTTTATATAATTACTAGCACAAAGCAACTCGCCATTGCTTTGCTTATCTCTCTAGTGATCATGTGATATCCTGACACTGGCACGCTTTTTAACATTGGTTGAAACATTTTTCAACTCTCCCAGCTTATTATGCAAAACGACACAAACAATTTCACTACGTGGGCTTAGTATCACCTCTCCTTTTAACCGTTGTATAGCTTGTGCCACCCTTTTCTTTGGGGACATGCTTTCTACTCCTTATTTCACTTTATATTCATAATTTTTTATTATAAATTTAAATAATAAAATCATATTTTTCTTGTATATGTTTCAATTTAATTATTTTAATTATTTTAATCGTATTAATTGTATAAATAAGATATAAATTATACAAATTTTAATCTTGTTAATCGTGTCATATTATATAAGATTTAACTTAACATGTTTAATAAGTGTGTTAATTTTTCATGTCGTATTACACGTTTATTAAACATATTCATATATGTGTTTAAGATCTTGACACAATTAATTAATTATGTTATGTTCATATTTACCGGTATAATTGTTCATATCTCATGTTTACACAAAATAGTTTAATATACGAAAACACGTATTATCAAGTCTAATTCTGTTATATGGAGACAAATCTCTACCAAACCCAATTTTCTCAATAAGTCACTTTCAATTTATTTATAGCAAATATATATATATTAAAAAATATCTCTTGACATCTTAGTTTTAAGAAAACAAAGTTTCACAAGATACTTTCGTGTCATTGCTCCACTTAATCTAAAGACTTAGACAAGGTCCGCAGCCATTTCTCCTTATTCCTTATAGCAAATTCATAATATTATTTATGCAATTGGTTTTGATTTTTTGGCCAAATTCTTTCTTGAATGACCCAGAAAGCAGCTCCAGGTCAAAGTTTTTTCTTTTTCAACACAACAGCAACGCCAATGTTCTTGGTTGCTTCTTTTCCATGCTTGTAATCCTCAGCTAGAATTTCTTCGGCCTTATCAAATAGCTTGTCCATCACCTCTTCCCCAAATTTAGGGATGACAATGGTACCCTATTGTAGGGTACCTGTGGGTACCTGACCCAGTTATACCAGATTAGGATACCTTATAATCTAGTTTGGAACAGATTCAAATAATAATTTTACTACTTATATGGAGTTCGGGTAGGGCTATGGTACTACCTCTTGGATAACAGCTGCCCAAACCTAATTATGTTAATAGTTGGGTTACACGGGTACCCACCTTGAACCCGATCCCAATACCCATTTATAAATATTTTAGTGTTATTTATATGATTAAATTAAAAATTATTAATTATAATATATATATACACACTTTATAATATATAACTTATAATGTCTTTTAATACATACACTTTATATTATATATTATGTTCATTCAAAAAGAACATAATTACTATTATATAAGTTTATAATTACTAAACAAAAAAATAATATTGATTTATATTATATATTATGTTCATTTATAAACACACTTTAAATTTTTGATTACTTAAATTTAAATTTTATTATTTATGTTTTTATTAATTTGATTAGTAGTTAATTATATGAAATATTTAAGAAAAATATTATAATATATGAATATAGATTCGGATTCGAGTTATTGGGTACAAATGAAAGAACATTTTAATAATTTTTTTATCTAATAGTTTTAAACGGGTTAAGGTAATTATAAAATAATGAGAATGTATTAGAGTTAAAAGTTAAGATAATAATTTTTAAAATTATTCGAATAGTTAATAGGGTTCTAGTATTTGATTTTTTATAAAGTTAGGATTTGAGTACTTTGAAACTAACGTACCCTACCTATTGACAACCTTACCCGAATTGGTGTGACAAAATGGGCTCTTTAAAGCATCTGTAGCATTTGATTCATTGTATTACATGTATGCACTCACATAATTTATTCTATTTAATCATATATAGGAATGAAGGGTTAGATTTAATCATCAAAAGGGATTTTCTTATCTATATTCACTCTCACATTTATTCTGAACTTATATTTGAATAAATTATTTCTATTTAATCATCAAGCATCAAAGAATAAAAAATAAAATACACTTTATTTAGACATTAATATTATTGATATAAATATAATAATGCAAAAAGTTATATAAATTTAAACATAATATAAAATAGAATGAAAACTGTGCCCTCAACATAGTTCACAAGCCAGTGCGACCTGTATTTGAACACATCTCAATTTGAGCTTACAATCCATGATTTATAACCATGAACATAATAACATCATAGGTCAATACATGTGCTTTGCCTGACCAAAAGATGTAATCAAGCGAAGCTCAATTGGCATGTTCACCTTATTCCTTAGCAAATTAATATTACTATCAAATTCCCTGAATGACACAAGTATCAGGGTCAGATGTCTTTCTTTTTCAGCACAGCAACAATATTGACAACCGTGGTTGTTTGTTTTCCCAACTTGTAATCTTCAACGAGAACTTGTGTCACCCTATCATATAACTCGTCCATTATTTCCTCTCCAAACTGGTGTGAGATCCATGGCTCAGAAAATGCTCTCACGTTTTTAGCTCTCGGTTCTGCACTCGCCCATGCATCCCCAATCTCCACTTTGACTGTGTCTATGAACTCAACAGTGAAAGAACCCTCTTTTTCCACTAAATCCTCAACTTCTTTTTGGGATGGGGTGAAGGTTGGTGCATTGAAGGAATCTAATTTGTCTTCATCAATCAATCCCTGTTTGATTATATTCACTTGGAATTAGATAATGTCAAGTTAAGTAACTCGATCAATGAATAAACATATCTTAAATGTATAAACCTGCTTGTGAAATTAAAAAAATTCTACTCTCAATGCATAAAATAATAATTTAAATAAAGGATAAAATTTGGTAATATTTCACCTTTGAAACCATGTAAGATATGGCCCTGGATAGGAGTTCAAAGTGGTACAGGCTTTCTTTGCCTATGGGATCCCCAGATTTCCTTCCATTAATTGTGAAGAGGATGCGTCCGTTAGGTACCATCTCTGGTGATCGACATTTCAAGAAGAGAAGGAAATCTTCTTGAAATTGAGAAAGGTATGCCTTTCTGACTGCAAGAGGGCTGGTTGCTGATATGTGGATACTCCCTTTGTTTAGTGGTAACCCTCTTTCGCTTGTGATTTTTGGTGCCTTTATCATGGGTTCCAAATGATTAGTCAAAATGCATTTCCATGAA